TAGGTTGGATACAGCCCCCGGACCAAAATGAGTTTGACACCCCTGCTGTAGATCATTTCAGGAAAAAACAACGTGGAGTCAAAGTGGTGGACCCTCACAGTGCACCTTTGGTATTTATTTGTTTATTGCAGTTCATATTTTTTTAACAGTATTGTAGATTAAGAAAAAAATTTTTGAGGATAATTCTGCTTCATGGATTGCTTTCAGTATTATCACGTTCGGTCTATATGTACAGACGATATCGCAGGTTACTCGGTTACAAAAGTGAGACGTGCGTCGACGCTGATACTTGTTTTACCTGTAATATAGCGTAACAGTATAGATTAGGAGCGGGACGTGTGGGTACAGGCCCAGAGCTGCCGGTTTGATGTTGCAGTCTCAGTTAATGTGTACGAGAATCACAGGGACTTATTGGGTGTGTGCTCCCAGATAATCACCTCCAGACAGGAAGTCCATAAATCAGTCCAACACCGGCCGCACTCTAAATGTGCAGGGACATGTCAGGAACAAGAGAGAGACCGGAGGAGGGGGGAGAGAAAGGGGGCATACAGAGAGATGGACAGGGAAGTGAGGATGAGATAGAGAAGGAGGGAGAGAGAGGAAGAGAAAGCTGGACAGAAGAGAGACACAGAAGGAAAGTGAGAGAGAAGAGAGAGAAAAACAACAGAGATACAGAAGGAGAAGGAGGAGAGACAGAGAAAGAAAGAGAGGGGAAAAAGAAAGAAAGAGTGAAAGAATTGGATATAGAGACAGGAGAAAAAGTGAGAGAGACAGAGAGAGAAAGAGAAGTGAGTTAGTGTGTGTGTGTGAGAGAGAAAGAGTGATAGAGTTACAGAGAAGGAGGAGAGACAAAGAGAGAGGGGAAAAAGAAAGAAAGAGTGATAGAAAGACATATAGAAACAACAGAAAAAGTGAGAGAGTGAGAGAGAGAAGTGAGTTAGTGTGTGTGAGAGAGAGACAGAGAGTGAGAGTGGTGGCAAGGGAAAAAGAAGGGAGACAGGAGAAAATGTGAGAGAGAAAGAGATGAAGAGAGAAAGAGTGATCGAAAGGGATAGAGAGACATGAAACAGAAGAAAAAGTGAAAGAGAGAGAGAGAGAGGAAGAGAGGAAGAGAAAGGTGGAACAAGGAGAGAGCGAGCAGAAGGAAAGAGGGAGAGAAGAGAGAGAATAATAGTAGAGATACAGCGAAGGAGGAGAGACAGACAGAAAGAGAGGGGAAAAGAAAGAAAGAAAGAAAGGGTGATAGAAAGGGTTATAGAGACGGGAGACAGGAGAAAATGTGAGAGGGAGAGAGGGGAAGAGAGAGAGCGATAGAAAGGGATAGAGAGACAGGAGACAGTACAAAAAGAGTGTGTAAGAGAGAGAGAGAGAGAGAGGGGGAGAGGAGACAGGGAGATAGAGGAGAGAGGAAGAGAAAGGTGGACAGAAGAGAGAGATAGAAGGAAAGAGGGAGAGAATAGAGAGAATAGTAGTAGAGATACAGAAAAGAAGGAGAGACAGAGAGAAAGACAGTGGTCAGAGGGAAAGAAAGAAAGAAAAAAGAAGAAAGAGTGATAGATAGGGATATAGAGCTAAGAGCAAAGTGAGAGCGAGAAAGAGAATTGAGTTAGTAGTGAGAGAATGAGAGAGTGATAGAAAGGGATAAAGAGATGGGAGAAAATGTGAGAGGGAGAGTGATAGAAAGTGATCGAGAGAGAGAAGAGAAAGGTGGACAGGAGAGAAGAGAGAATGAAACACAGTAATATGGTTGTAACTTTGCATTAGGCCCATGTGCCCACAACAAATAGCGAGAATTGTGAGTTCCATCATCTGACACTGGGTTCAATGTCAGAGTCTGAACTGAAGCTGAAGACACAGCACAAACTAAAGAACCTGTCAGCAAGAGACCAGCGCACAAATAAGATGTTTTTGATAAACATCCAAGCAACAAATATGTTAAATGTCAGTGTCACAATAGAGAAAAGTAGTAAATAGTAGTAAAAAGTAGTAAATAGTAGCTCAGTTGGTAGAGCATTCGCCCACTGATATAAAGGTTGGCGGTTCGAATCCTGCTCTCAACATAAAAACATCACAGGTTGAGCAGTCAGATCCACTGACCCACAGGTTGGCTGGTGTGATTCCAGCTCCTACAGATGAATGCTGTCATTGTGTCCTTGGGCAAGACACTTAACCCACCTTGCCCACAGTGTCTGCGTATACTGGTGTGTGAATGTGCGTGTGAATGTGTGTGTGGTTCCTTGTTGTAAAGTGCTTTGAGTGCCTTGAAGGTGGAAAAGCGCTATAGAAAAATGTGACCATTTACCATTCAAAACTTTTTAACAAATCATAACAAGTACTTCTTTCTGAGTACACACCAATGCCAAGTACTCATATGAATAGATTATATATATATTTGTTTATATATATTCAGTGTTTTGAGTCTAACCGTGCTTCACTCCATCCACCAAGGACATTCAATCACAATAAGTCAAGATAAAGAACTGCCAGCACCTCTTAGAAAGGTCAGTCTGCTACTATAGTAAACACAAGCACTGCCCACACGTCACTGGTGAAAGGTGAAAACATGCAGGATTGTCACAGAGATCACTGCTCAGCTGAGAGGTGATCTGTGACAGTCAAGTGAAGACGTGGACAAGGTCAAGTGGTATCGGCTCAGGTGGTATTGGGACCAGATTCATGAGTATACCCGATATTGGTGTCATCAGTATCATTATTAATATTTATTGAAACATGTAATCAGTGACACCCCCATTTTGTTCTGAAAGTTATGGTAACTGTGATAATGGTCTAAACTCTTCCTCTTCTGCTGTTGAGAATGTTTATAACTGGGATTTATGGTGGAGTTATACACTATATGTTTATAATTTACTAAAAAGTTAATTTTTCTTTAAACAGAAAGTTACCCTTACTGGAAAATGTAAAAGTGGGAAAGGTACAAATCTGAGGCACTCCAACTGAATATATCCTTCAAGTCCTTTATTTCATGAAGGAACGTCAGTGGTTTGACTACTTTGCCCTGACGAAGACCATCATGCTGGTCGAAACGTGTTGGCGTCCCTTCATGTAATAAAGGTCTTTTAATATATTCCGTCGGAGTACCTCGGGTTTGTGCTTTGCCCACTTTTACATTTTCCAGTAAGGGTAACTTTCTGTTTAAAGATCAGTGTTTCAACCCTCATAGAGCATCTGTACTGCTATTTTTTATACTTTTGAAGTGCTCTACCTCTTCCTTCATCTGACATATCAAGTTTATTTTTTCAGTTTGTCACAGTTCTATATGTTTGTAATTATATTTATTTATGTATTTATTTATTTCTAATGCCATTATTTTGTTGGCATCAATTTAAAGAGAACAACAACAACAATTAACATAAATACATATTCTAACCATTATTTGCCTTGCCTTTGTTGCATGAACAAAAGGAACAGGAAGAAGAGAAATCTTATAAACCCTGCTCCTTTCACAGAAAAAATAAAATAAACATTTCTTTAATAATCAATCCCCACCCCAAGCCCCAAACCAAGTCACCAATGCGCCATATGTATGTTACAAGATCTCTCGTGTGGTTAACATTTCATTAAATTAAACATTTTCCTTTGTCACATAATCCATCAGTATTTTATTCTAGTACATTTTCTTAAATATAGAAACACGAGTGCAGCTTTTAAAAGATTTAACAAGTTCCATATCATGACTCCATACATAGGAAACGCATTTCTGTTTTAATGTTGTCTCTGAGAATACAGTTTGAAAAAAATATGGTCTTCTATGGTCTACATATGATCAAGCCCCTATCCCAAACTCCAAACCAAGTCACCAATGAGCCATATGAGCCTTGTGCATTTTCTTAAATTTAGAAACACTAGTGCAGCTTTTAAAACCATGATTTAACAAGTACTATATCTTGACTCACACAGAGACCTTCCTTGAGAATACAGCTCGAAAAAAAATATCATCTTCTATGGTCACAATCCTCCGAGACAAACGTAAAAAGATTCTGTAGAGCTTTGGGGAAATGTCTTTGTTTGGCTCTCCACAGAACTAATAAAATCAAGATCAACTAAGTCTTTAACCTCGACTAGATATTATACTCTTCTATATGATCAAGCCCCTATCCCAAACTCCAAACCAAGTCACCAATGAGCTATATGTATGTTACAAGATCTCTCGTGTGGTTAACATTTAAAGAACTTAAACATTTTCCTCAGTCACATAATCCATCAGTATTTTGTTCTTGTACATTTTCTTAAATTTAGAAACACTAGTGCAGCTTTTAAAATCATGATTTAACAAGTTCCATATCTTGACTCCATACACAAAGAGCTTCCTTGAGAATACCGTTTGGAAAAAATATCGTCTTCTATGGTCACAATCCTCCGAGACAAACGTAAAAAGATTCTGTAGAGCTTCGGGGAAATCAAGATCAACCAAGTCTTTAACCTCGACTATATGATCAAGCCTTTCTGCTGTTGAGAGAGTTCGTAACTGATGTCTACCACCTGTTACCAAACCCACAAAAACCTTCAAAAGTGGTGCATCAGTATCTTTTGTAAAGAATAAGAAGCGACAGAATCTAGAATCTTGAGGTCAATTGACAAAACTAACTTCTAAATATGTAGTTTCACGCCTCAAATGGACCAAAAAATAATAACAAAATAAAATAAAACTGTTCACGCTGTTTTATCACGCTAGAAAGACTCTGTTCTGGACTTTTATAATGACTTTCGTGTACTGTCTAAATGGTATAGCGAAGCGTCTTATGTTACATTGGAGAGCCTCATTTATTACCAGCATAAATTGTATGTACTTAGTCATATACAGCTTTAGACAGAGGGAGATTAGATGACTTTCAGCACCTGGTCCAGCTCCATCTTTATAACTACAGTTTGAGTCAAGGGTGCCATAAAAAAGCATACATTTCCATAGTGGGATAGAAAACCATAAAAATGATTTTGCATTTGTTATTTTAAGGAAAAAATGCGGTTGGGTGTTTTCTGACCTGATTATAGGTTGCATCGAGAAGCGTGTCCAAGTTCTGCAGAGGCGCTGGGGTCTTGTCCTTGAAGCGGGTTAGAAGGCGTCTCTGGATGGCTCTGAACTGGACTGCCCTCTCAGATAGAAGGTCCTGGTACTGTTTAGAGCTGACTCGTAACTAAAGAATACACAAAAATACACACGAAAGAGGTTAGACAAAAGGTTGTGTTCATGTGATATTACTATAGCATCCATAGGTAAAAATAGGGCTAGGAAAAACTGGGGGCAAATTTGAATGTCTTTTTTATGTTTTGGGTTTTTTTTTGGGTTTTTTGCATCAAGCAGAAAAACTGGAACTGGAAAAACTGTGTGTAACTTTTTTGTTTGGGATGCGTCAAATTCTTGTTTCTACGGTAATGACATTCCTCTGCCTGGAATGCTCCACAGTATGACATTAAACAGATCAACCTTACATTTATTCAATTACAGGTGGTTTTATAGCTCAAAAATACCAGAAATATCCAGAAAAACAGACATTCTGACTGTGAGCAGGGTTGCCTCTCCACGGATCTGACCTGTAATTTGGTCTGGTTTGGTCTCCATGAAGATAGAAAAGGTTTAAGATAATACTGTGAAACATCTTTAAAGTGCAAATGACAGGTTTTGGTCATTATAAATTTGTTTGGTTTGTGGGATTGTACTTGTGGTTATTTAATGGGCCATTTGTGGGGAAAAAGTTGAGATGAACAAAAATACAGGACGCGGTGGTGAGTTCTAAAACACAATACCTGTCCCATTAACATTTCAACAACATTGAAAATTCCAGATGAAATGTGCAAAAATACAAGACGAGGTGGTGAGTTCTAAAACACAATACCTGTCCCATCAACAAGTCATCAACACTGAAAATTCCATCCAAAACGTAGGGATCATTTACACACAAGGAATACATTTTGGCAGTTTAAACCAGGGGTGTCCAAACTGCCAAAACACAGATGAAGTGGAGGGCTGATCAATGGCCATAAACTGGTGGTCAATACAGTGAATACTTCAAAAATGTGCATTTAAAACAGGTTAGAATGAGTCACCAAATCCTTTATTCATGCTTAGATCCTCAAGGACACACTAAATATTTGATATCGGCTTTATCAAGTTAGATTTTCAAAAACTTGTTAATGTAATATGGGCCAAGAAAAACTGGTCATTTGCTCCCTGGGCCATAGTTTGGACTTGTCTGGCTTAAACCTTCATTTAATAAAATAAAGGTCCATTTTTATTATTATAACATGTCCCAGCCCTCCATCTGGAAAATATGACACCAAAGGTTTTGGCTTCCTGGTATACTCGCTTTTTGAGAACTTTTGACAATTGAAAATATATAACTGTCAGTTGCTATGGCGATGGTCCTAATTTTCATCCAGGCATGAAAACGGGTCAGGGTGAAAAAGGTGAGAAGGTACACCAGGGCATCTATTTTTCAGGTTAATGAAGACCACCACTATAACTTGACCACTGTATAACGTAAAATGTAGTCAAGACCGCACTAATCAAGACCAAGACTTGTCTGAAGACCAAGACCAAGACCAAGACAAGACCAAGACAAGACTTTTAAAGAGACAAGACCAAGATCAAGACCATCTGTTGTCATTTTCTAAATTTATTTGTATTTTACAGTTATTTTGGCACATATATATTAATGTTTTTATAAATCTATGTCCATTTTATATGTTAATTTAGGCATAAAATAAGACAAGCAAACTGCACTGCTCTTAAACACTCTAACCCCCTTTGTGGACCCTCACCCACAGTTTGAGAACCCCTTCTTTAATTCCACTTCCACTGGCACTTTACAGAAAACTGCTTCTAAGTGAATAAAATGGGTAGGATTTTTAAACCTGTTTTCAAATTCCTAATTGGAGTTACATTGTCTTACTGGTTTTACAGTGGTATTTAGCAGCCTCTGCACATTTACCAAGCCAAACACACATCGTGACAAACACAGATTTATTTGGCATTTAATTAGGCAAACTTCAGCCCACATATTGCTGTAGGTCTGCTCTGTGCAGTAGGTCTGTTCTGTGCAGTAGGTCTGCTCTGTGCAGTAGGCCGACACTGTAACATTAATTTTGATTAGTTTTGTTTCGCGTTTTGTCTTGCCCTTCTAATCAGCGTGAGGGCAGAGCTGATGTGCACTATACATTACATTAAATCTGAAATCTGGAAAGTGAAGAACATACCTGGAAGTGGTGATCAATTGCCAAGAAGTAGTCCTGAAGGGGGATTGGTCCGCTGAAACTTTTCCGGAAATCTTTGACGCCGAGTTTGGAGAAATGCCGATCGCACCTTTGGACCAGCTCGTTCGCGATCAGCCACATGTCCTCAAAACTGTCACTCTGAATGCGGTAACGCTCTGTAGAAACAAATTTCTCATTATTATTTAGAGTTTTGGAAAATGTGTAAATGTATTTGTTAAAAAAAGTTGTGCTCACGTGAAGATTTGGAGGCGACTAGGCTAACTTTTGGTCCCGACAAGAACTGGAAAGCTAAACTGTTTCCGTCATTTTCTTCGGACTTTGCAGAAAACTCTATTGGAAGAAATGAAACTGTCACTGTAACAAACCCAGGACACAGAAAAATAAAATACATTTACTATGGTTTTGCATCAACCTGCCCCCTTCATAAATCAGGACACTAACAGGATACAGCTATGATACTGAAACGGAGGGATGATGTATTGTTCTCCAGATAAGAAGACAAGTATTTGGCTACAGGAGCTTGGCTATTAGGCACAATGCTATTCTATTTCAGCTCTGTCAGATCGGGTTTGAATTTTGCTTTGAGAATGTTCTGATTTTCATTGATTTCACTGGACCACCTCATATATAAAACACATACAATGGCTGACTGATTTGTGGTGACAGTATATGTTTTTGAAAGGAGATTTTCTGTGAGATTGTAGATATTTTCTGCAATTGAGAAGGACAGCCTCATCATACTCACACATGCAAGAATGAATTAAAGTTTATTATAGTTTGTCCCCACACCTTGAATGTTTCATGATATGGCATAAAACTGTTGGTGTTTTTATTGCTCCGAAGTAACACATGAAAAGTGCTTTCAGTAGTGTTCTCTGGCAGTCAGTAAGGATTCATAGAACCTTAGTTACATTTGTTACTTTCAATTTAATGCTGTACTGTGGTGTGTGGTGTGTACCAGGCAAAGCAATAACATGGAAACCTTAACCTTTAATCCTTTTTTTTTTCTTATTTTTCCTTTTCCAGTAATATCTCCAAGTAACTTTCACTCAAGCTGGCTTGTTCCAACCTTTGTTGTGATATAATATAGTTCAGTATTTCGGGAAGAAGTCATTTGAAGAGGGGTTGACTGTTTTCAGTATATTTCATTTTATGGACATGGTATTTACTAGAGCCCAACCGATATATCAGTTGGCCGATATACACTGAGGTTCTGCTTTAAATACTCTTGTGTCTGATCCACAATACTGACTATAATAAAATTGAACTTGAGCTTAGTTTAGTCCAGCAACAAAACTACTCCTTGTTTTTATCAAACAAGTAGGGGTGGCAGTAGCTCAGTTGGTAGAGCATTCGCCATCTGAAGGTTGGTGGTTCGATTCCAGCTCTTGACATAAAACATCACAGGTTGAGCGGTCAGATCCACTGACCCACAGGTTGGCTGGTGTGATTCCAGCTCCCACAAATGAATGCTGTCGTTGTGTCCTTGGGCAAGACACTTAACCCACCTTGCCCACAGTGCCTGTGTACACTGGTGTGTGAATGTGTGTGTGAATGGGTGAGTGGTTCCTTGTTGTAAAGCGCTTTGAGTGCCTTGAAGGTGGAAAAGCACTATAGAAAAATGTGACCATTTACCATTTACCAACTTATTAGTGAAGACTTGTGATCTGAGAGGAGCCTGTATGAGCGGTGACTGTTGCAAATGTGTCGGTTTTGAAGCTATTTTTCGTTCTTTTTCATTAGTTAGCACTTTGCTGCTGTAGCTCCCACATATAAACAGCCTGTTTTCTCTTACATTGGCCTAGTGCAAAGTGACTATAGTGGCTGTGTACATATTACTGGACCTGCATTGATATGTAAATGAGCATGAGCTGTGAATAGAGGTGTGAATGATCTACATTTACAGATAATTAATTAATCACGCATTTACCACTAAAGGCTAATAGCGGTAGTTTACTTAGTTTCTTTACTGGCTAGAATGTCAAGCAAAAATGCAATTAGGCCGACCTACTGTCTTTAAATATGACTGTAAAGAGGCAGAATAACAATAAATGTTGCATAAATAAACCCACTATAAAATCCAGCAGAACCAGACCTAAGTTTTATATTGAATTGAAGATTTATGGTGAATCTTCACATCACTAAATATATTGGCTTTTATATTGGCTATTGGCACCTCCACCTCCTATTTTATCAGTATCATATCGGCCGCAAAACATTCATATCAGTCGGGCCCTAGTATTTACCACATAAAATGAATAAATAGAACCAATAACATGGAAAGCAGGTGGTGGACCTTCCCCCAGTGACAGTGTACCATAAAAGTACATTAAAATGTTTTACCTGGAAACATGGCGTGGAGGTCGACGGGGGGCTGGTTGGTGTCCACAGTGACCTTAAACTTGGTGCTTTTGGCGGGTGTCGAGGAAACACACACCAAGGCCAGTGGAAGACTAAAGCTACTTTGGAGAACTCTGGGAACCCCTGGAAGAAAGAAGCATTCAACAGACTTATTTTACAACTGAAAAATACAATCGTACTTATATTTTAGCCAAAACTATCACTTTGGTGGCATTTTCCATTCGCGTCAATGTCCCCTGCAGCAAATCAAAGCAAGTTAACCCGCCGTCTTTTGGGCTTTCTCTCCAAACAAGACCCAAGTCCACATTTGTTAGTATAGTCAACAGTGCAGATAGTCAGATTACAGCGGGATCACACAAAACGGAGAATTCATAGGCGTGTTTGTTATAGATCTGAAAGAGAAGCTGCGCGAGGAAGAGAGAACAGAGGAGGAGGGAGGCCAAGTATAACTCTGTCCTGAGCTTAAGCAGTGCTGAGCTTGGCAGAAACCTACACTTAGCTAGAATAACAGCGAAAGGAAGGAGCGATGGAAGAAAACAGTTGTTTAAAAAAGGAGATGGAGGAGAGGGAGTGGAAATAGCCCAGCGTGAGAGACAGACAGAATAAGAGTGACAAATGTACAACCGGGACTGTGCACAGGAGGAGAGCTGAAATGACCCAATGTTACGGGTTATTACCAGCAGCGGGTAGAGTAGCCAAAAACTGTAGTAAAAGCACTGTTACTTCAAAACTTGAGTAGAAGAACAATGTAGTGGTTCAAGAGTAAAGAAGTATTTGGGAAAGTACTAAGGTTGTCAAAAGTATTGAAAATCAGATACTAATCAATACTAAAAAAAAAAAGTCATAGTTACTGGATTGAAATGTACCTTTCCTGAATAACTTTAGAAAGATCTTGAGCTGTATCAGAACAAGTAAAAGACTATTATGGAACCTATAATTAAGGGATTACACAGATATAAGACCACATGGTAATAAAAAAGAAAGTACTATGATTAAGGCTACGTTCACAATGCAGGGCTTAATGCTTAATTAGATTTTTTTAGTGATATCCGAATTTTTGGCGAGGTCGTTCAACTTTCCAGTTAAATGTGACTTGCGTGTGATCTCCATTGTGAACTTTAGACGCCCCAAAAGTGTCCCGCAACAAGCGTGCTTAATGTTTACGGAAGTAGCCTAAACCTGAGCTTGTCTCCCAAAATACGGTTCAGTTCTTTATAAAATGGACAAGTTACACATCCATGGCCGCTTTGTTTGTTTGAGTTTTTAGCCTCTGTATTTGGCTCGCAGGCTCTTTATTTTGTGTTGATACTGGAGCCAGAGCCAACTGTAGCCACGCTTGGCCATTTCTTTGGCAATCACTTCAAAAACCATCCAGTTCAGAACCTCTCCTTTTTGGCCTGAATACAGTGATCCCCCCCAAATATTAATGAACTGGCTAACCTCACTTTCCCTCCATTGAAGAGACTCCGAATGTGACGTGTAGGTGGGATGAATGTAACCTGGCCATTCAGACTGAAGTCACAGGTCAAAAGATCAGATATGTAACAGTTTTAGGAGCACATATCAAAGTGGCCGGGGTCAGATTTGAAAAATCAGGTTTGTGTTGTTCAGACATTAAAAGATCATCTACAGGTCACACAGGGGTGAAAAAATTGGATTTGGGTCACTTCAGGCTGCAGTCTGAACGTAGTCTACATGTTGAAAATCACATTTTTTATTATCATCATGGTATCAGAATTGGTATTGAGTCTATTCCTCAGTACCGTAATGTGAAAACTAAAATATATTCACTGATTAAAGTGTAAAGTTAATGTAACTGAAGGCACAGATCATTAAATAATGCACAAAATGTGACAAAAACGAAACCATATCTGAAGGAACGGTGCAAGAAACACAAATGTTCAAATCATTTAATACTGTCAACATAAAGCCTTTGTGAGTTGTAGGGAAGAGTAACCAAAACGTTTAACTCAAGTAAGCGTTACTTCAATAAAAATATTTTTTAAGTTACTCAAGTAAAAGTAACTGACTGAAAGTAGGCACTACCCACCACTGGTTATTAAACAAAGAAGTCATTGCCCCCTGCTTTATACGTTTTCTTTCGATACACGCAATTATGAAGTGATTAAGTGAATAATTCAATTTGCAGAGAGCAGCTGAACAGAAGCAGGAGGTGAGCGAGGAGCCAAAGGAAACAGGGTGGAGGAGAGGCAAGGGTGAAGCATGGTGATGGGCTTCCCAGACAGACCATGGACCTATGTAATATACAGCCAATGGGTCATGAAGAATGAGCAAAAGCACCATGGGAAAAGACAGAGTACTTTCATTAGCTATGAATTGTGCTTGCAATATCACATGTAGTTAAATTTAAAAAATGGTGGGGTGTCTAAAAATTACAGTTATTAAAACTTAATTTAAACAGGATGTGTGTAAGTCTCATGTGCGATGATGTCATGGTCTCTTTTAGTCAGACAAGAAATCTACGGCTCAGACAAATTCTATTTTCATTTGGCTCCAGTGTGAACCATCTACCTCAGGGATGGGTTATCAGTTTTCGGTGATATCGATGGGTATTGGTATCAGTAGGAGGTGAAGGTGCATTATGGAACATTTCTGGTGGAGTGTCTGTCAAATGCTTTTCTCCATGGAGACATTATTGCTTTTTCTGGAGTGTTTCACAGTATGGTATATCTGGCCAGGCTGGTGCCACCTAGTGCCTCCACTCAATTCCATTTCTCACCAGCAAGTAGGTCAGGAATCAAAATACAATTGATGGTTTGCAAGAACCCCGGAAGTGCAAGTCTGGGCACCAGCCAATCAGCAAAGAGCCATACATTCAGTGTTGTCAACGATTCTGGAGATCGAGGATTTAACGCAAGAATAAAGAGAATATTTGGTGAATTTCATCAAGGGGAAAGACATTATTGCCCTTCTTCCTATGGGATTTGGGAAAAGCTTAATATACCAGTTAGCCCCGTTAGCAGCGCATTACATACATCACAACCAAATAGCAGCGATTGGTTAAATGATAAAAAGTACCCTCCTACCGTTGAGTGAACGAAATCTAACACTGCGAGGTCAGACGGTTTCTACAAAGTGAAACGAAGTGAAACCAGCTGATGAATCAGACTATGGTATATCATCATGGAGACAAAACCAGACCAAGTTACAGTCAGAATGCCTGTTTTTATAGGTATTTTTGAGCTATAAAAGCACTTGTAATTGAATAAATGTAATATAGAGCAATGACATACATGTAAAAACAAGCAGGTGACGACCCACAACCAAAAAGTAAAGACATAGTGCAAATTTAATTTCAAAAACGTTGGGCATGGTGGCCAAGTTGTTTATGTTATAATTTGGTATTTTGGTTCTCAAGACAATTATCCAATGTTGAAAGCAGAACAAGCCACAAATTGGAGTGACCACTGTCAATGCTGAAATCCAGTTAGTTCAAACCTAAAATACCTCTCTCTGATCTGAATGGTCACTTCCTAAACCTCAGCCCCTGCAGCCAATCATGAGTCAGTGCTAGTGCAGCCTCTGCAGTGAGGGAATTCGGGAGGTTCTGAGCTTTCTCATGAGACATGACCTGTCCATATACTGGACTAAGAATGAAAAAACATTCAAACATTCTTCAAAGATAGTTTACAGTTCATTTCATAGCTTATTTGGACTTTCAACCCGGGTTTATTTTCATTGGTTTGAGAAATCTGATTCTAAGATTTTTGTGAGGGAGCGAGATGATGGTGTGTGTATTTAAACCTGACCAAAGAAATCATGTCTGTATTCCCACACTAGGCGGCCCATTCACAAGCCCAGATGATAACACGGCGCACTGTATTTGACTGTTTGCGTTAACGTTTCACTGCCCTAAGTCTGCCAATGTGCACCATTTACTACATTTCACATAAACTGACTTACCGCGAAGCACTTTCCAAAGCTCACGGAAATGTTTTTGATTTCTTTTAAATATGTTTTGCCTTCCTCCCGGACAGCCCGCAGTTTCATTCAGTTCTGTGCATTATGAAAATGCACTTGGAGAGAGTTAAAACCTGCTGGCCTGGGGTAATCCATCACCGGAGCACATCACGTCCGTTTCAATTAATGTCAGCGGGGCTCTCAAACACTGTGGCCGTGTCATCGGTGAAAAAGGTCGATATGATTTATGGGAAAAGGACTCAAACATGCATCAGTCAGATAAGTGTGAGCCAGCTCCTCGGTCTATTCACAGTAAAGTTGGCTATGTATAACCACGGGAGCTGTTTTTAGCTTCCAGCCTACTGACCTTTGCTGTGTTAGCAACTAGAGACACTTTTCCATCATAATCCATTACTGCGCTTTTACAGTAAATGATTGGTATTGTTGTATTAGGGAAGGAACTATGTAGCCTGTGCTCTTATAGTTTTAACAAAGGTATTACAACCACAGCTGAACCCAGGTTGCCTGTTCCTTAACATGCAGATATGAGGACACACACAAGTTTTTCTCATTCTCTATGTCTGTGTGCATCTAGTTATGAAGGGTTTTAGTGTCTGACAATCAGGATGTGCACTGTTTGCATGCTAGTTGTTGTTGCTAGTTGAATTACCATGATGGAAAACAGAAGGTTGCTTTTAATGCATCAAGTAGGTGAGGAATAACTGTTTAAATGAAGTAGTTTTGATTTTCACGTTTTTAAGACAGTAAAAATCTGGTACAGCTCCTTTAACTCAAAAAATACTCTAGAGATGTATATGTAGCCTGTATCCATACTCTTTTAACAAAGGTATTACAATCCCAACTGAAGCTGGGTTGCCAGTGCTTTAACCTGCATGGATAAGGACTCATTCAACTTTTTCTTTTTCCCAATATACAGACAGACAATACCTCATGTGAACACTCAGAACCTCCAGAACTCATGACTGGCCGCATGTGCTGAGGTTTAGGAAGTGACCATTCAGATCAAAGAGAGGCATTTTAGGTTTAAACCACTGGAATTTAGCATTGAAATTGGCAACCCAGTTAATAATTTTTAATGGTGCCTTCAATTCTTATAGTAATTATCATAAATACCAAAAACTGACATAAAAAATTCACATGAACACCCACTCACGTCATAATTTCCACTGGAAAGCTTGAAG